CTTGGTTGGCCATGTGGGAGTCCAGCGCCCTCAACCACCACACCACCTTCCAGTCCCATGGGGCTGTGCTTTCTTTCTCCTCCCATCTCTCTGTTTCTCTCTGGTGAATGCACATGCCCACTGGCAAATCAAAAGAAATACTCCGATGAATTTGGAGGTTAGATTAAAGGGGACAAAGGGCAGAAGTGGGAAAAACTAATCTAGGTGCAAGGCCATGGTACTTTGGACCAAAGGTGTGACAGTAGAGGTGGTAAGGTATACTGGAACTTGGAAATGTTTTAAAGGTAGAACAGACAAAGTTTATTGGCTAGACATGGGATGTGAGAGCAAAAAGGGAAGCAACAATAAGTCCGCAGAGTTTTGGCTGGGGCCACCGAATGGAAGTTGTCATTAACTGAGAGGGGACTATCAGAGGATCTGAGGGTCTGAGGTCAAAGCCGAGGGTCCTACTGTACATTCCAATTTGGGATTGTCAACACAAAGCGGTACTTAGAAGCATGACACAGGCTGGGGTAACCGAAAGAAGAGGTGTATGGCCTGAGCTGTGGGGCACTCAGATGATGGCTGAAGGTCGAGGAGGGGAGAAGGAGCCAGGAAAGGAGCTCAGTAGAAGTAGCTGAGTTAGGTGGGCTGTCTTGGAAACCCAGGAAAGTGTTTCAAGGAAGAAAGAATGATCACTGGTGATGCTGCCAATAGGTCAGTTATGGCAGAGGCCTGAGAAGCACTACTGGATTTAGTACTGTGGAGGTCTCCCAAAGTCATGATAAGAGGAGTTTTGTTATTGTATTCCTTTTGCTTTAAATATTAACAACATTTTAGAGCTTTCCACTGGAAGCGATGCACTAATTACAGACTAGTCCAGAAACAACTAGCCACTTGAAATCCTTTTGGAAACTGGATAAATCTGATGAATAGGCAAATTCTGTTTCTTTTTTTTTTTTCCCCTCAAAGGTTCCATAGGGCGTGTGCGTTCATCAGAGACAGTGAGAGGGAAAGCGAGAAATCACCCCCAAGGGGGTATGGCTATGCTAAAATCCCTACTCTATTCTCCTCCTGGGATTTTGGGCACACATATACATGTGCCCAGTATCTTCCAGGTCTGGAACTCGAACTGTGGTTGGCCATGTGGGAGTCCAGTGCCTTAACCACCATACCACCTGCTGACCCCATCTGACTAATAGGCAAATTCTTTTTGCTTTGTTTTGCTAAAAATCTTGAAGTGTAGACCAGTTTGACTTCTTGCTATGGAAAATGTCAAAATCAGTGTCACTTACCTCTAGTTTACATTTAATTCTCGTATAAAGATCTTCCATTCTTAGAGCAATAAAGTGAGGTAATAACCATGTTTTAAGGCTGAACAACTATTTTTTTTTTTTAAGAAAGATTTTTGCTATAGGTCATGTGCACTTGAAGGAAAGACAGAGACAGAGAGACAGAAAGCAAGACATCATCCCCCAAGGGGGATATCCACACTGCAATCCCTTCTCCTCCATTCTCCTCTCGGGATCTTGGGCATGCATGCACACGTGCCTGGTGTGAGTTTAAGCCGCTTGGTCTGGGACTTGAACTGTGGTCGATTACATGGGAGTCCAGCAACGTAACCTTTACACTGTCTGCTGGTCCTACAAATTTTGTTTTTTAAGAATTATTTAATATTATTATTATTATTTTAATTCCTACAGGACATATGCACTTACCAAAGAGAGACACAGAGAGAAAGTGAGAAAGTAAGCTGCTGTCAGGTCCAGGATTCAAACTGTGGTCAGCCATGTGGGAGTCTAGTGCCTTAACCACTATGCCACCTGCTGGCCTCTGAAAAATTTTTTAAAATAGGGTGTTAGGAGGAGCGATAACATACATATGGAATAAAAGGAAGATATTAATGATGTTGAGTAGAACAGGAATTTGATAATATTTTTACATTAGCAGTTCCCATATGTGTTCCTCAGACATTTCAGAGGCTTCTGAGACTCGTTTAGGGTTTTGGAAGGGAAGATTAAAACCATTTTCTGGGACCAGCAGTTAGTGTAATGGCTATGTCGCTGGACTCCCACGTAGTCGACCGCCCGGCGTGCCGGCGTGAGTTTAAGGCGCATGTGCATGTGTGCCCAAAATCCCAAGAGGAAAATGGAGGAGAAGGGATTATGGCGTGGCCATCCCCCCTGGGGGGTGATTTCTTTCTTTCTGTCTCTATGTCTCTCTGGCTTTCTGGCGAGCGCACATGCCCCATAGCAAAAACCTCTCCAAATTTTTTCTTTTTTTTTTTCAAATAATTATTTTATTTAACTTTATTTATTTATTTTAATTTGACCAGAGAGACACAGAGAAACAGAGAGAGAGAGAAAGTGAGAAAGCAAGAAAGCAAGCTGCCAGGTCTGGGAATTGAACCATAGTTGGCCATGTCTGAGTCCAGCGCCCTTAACTACCATGCCACTTGCCGACCCCTAAAACTATTTTCATTACAGAACTAATACTTTGCCTTTTCAGTGTGATCATGTTTGCACTCATGGTGTAAAATCAAAAGTGGGTTAAACTGTTCTTAGCATGAAGTAAACTGTGCTGTTGTCACTGTATTCTTCATTATAACACCATCAGTGAAAAGAAAGGAAGCATTAAAATGCAATGTTTGGTGGGACCAGCAGGTGGCGTGGTGGTTAAAGCACTGGACACTCCCATATGATCGAGTACAGTTCAAGTCCAGGACCTGGTGGCTTACTTTCTCACTTGCCCGTCTTCCCCATCCCCATGTCTCACTCTGGTTAAATTAAAGATAAATAAATGAATAAATAAAATGAAATAAATATATGTATTTTTGAAAATGCAGTGCTTAGTGAGTCTGAACCACATGGGAAGGGTCTGAGTTGGCCCAGAGAAATCCCTGAGTATGGCAGGCACATGCATGCCCATGATTTGGGGCTGCTGAGGCCAGGGGTGGATTGTGGTGTTGAGTCTCTGTTAGAGTTACCTCTCTTTCTCTGATGGAATAAATAAATTTATTAAATGAAAATAGAAGGCACTGCCTCCCACATGGCCGACTGCCATTTGAGACCCAGGCCTGGTGGCTTGAAACTCACTCTGTGCATGCCCAAAAAGCCCAGACTATGGTGTGATCATTCCCCCAGGGGGGTGATTTCTCACTTTATCTCTCCTTGTCTCTGTCTCTGGCTAGTGCACATGCCCTATGACAAAAACCTAAAAAAAAAAAAAAAAAAAAAAAAAGCCAGTTTCTTTCAAGAATGTCCTTGAGGGAACCAGCAGTTAGCGTAATGGCTGTCGCTGGACTCCCACGTAGTCGACCGCAGTTCGCGTCCCGGACCTGGTGGCTTAAAACTCAGGCCGGGCGCGTGTGCGTGTGTGCCCAAATCCCGAGAGGAGAATGGAGGAGAAAGGATTGTGGCGTGACCATCCCCCCTGGGGGATGATTTCTCGCTTTCTGTCTCTATGTCTCTGTCTGTCTGGCGAGTGCACGCACCCTATAGCGAAAATCTCTCCAAAAAAAAAATGTCTTTGATAAAGCAGATACATTTATTAATTGTATTAAGTCTTGACTCTTGAGCACATCTTTTTGATATTCTGTGCATTGAAGTGAGAAACACACCTACAGCACTTTAGCTGCCTACTGAAGTATAATGATTGTGTTGAGAAAAAGCACTTGTGTGGTTGATTGACTTGAGAGCTGAATTAATTGCTTTTTTCCATGTGTGTGAAATACCATTTTTACTTAAAAAACACAGACAAATTAAAGTTACTAGATTTGAATATTTGGCAGATATTTTCTTGAAAATGAATGAAGTGAGCCTGACATTTCAAGGAAAACAGCTGACAGTATTTGTTGCCAGTGATAAAATATAAGCTTTTAAGTGAAAATTAGAATTTTGGAACACTAAGTACCTACTGCCAAGAGCTCAGTAGCATCCTAATGCTTAAAAAGTTGTCTCACGAGATACATGGTGACATTCACAAATGTGACTACGATATTGTATAATGAAGTGTGTCAACATTTGGAATATCTGCATGATTCAATGAACCAGTAGTTTCCAAATGATCAATGACGATGTTCCAGAATCATAGATGAGTAAAAGATCCATGCAGAGTGCAAGACAGATTTCTGCTTCTGACCAAGAGGGAGTGACAGGGTCATCTGGTGACCACTGCCAGTGACATTGGGCATCTTTTCTTGTGTTCATTAGCCATTTGGGAATCTTCTTTGGGAAAATGTCTGTTCAAATCGTGCCCATTAAAAAAAACGGAATTAATTGCCTTTGGCTTTTTTCAGAGATATTTTTGCTGTAGGGTGCATGCGTTCACCAAATCCTTTAGACAGAAAGATAGTGAGAAATCATCCCCCACATGGGATGGCCACACTGCAATCCCTTCTCCTCCATTTTCCTCTTGGGATTTTGGGCACACATGCACATGCGCCCAGTGTGAGTTTCAAGCCTCTGGGTCCAGGACTCAGACCATAGTCAACCAGTGTGAGTCCAGTAGCGTAACCAGTACATGGTCTGCTAGTCCCACCTTTGCCTTTTTATTTTAAATTATTTTATTTATTTAATTTTGCTTGTTAATATTTTAAAATTTGAGGGGGGAGAGAGAGAGAGAGAAAGGGAAAGTGAGAAGGCAGCCTGTCAGGTCCAGGACTTGAACTGTAGTCAGACATGTGGGAGTCCATCTCCTTAACCACAATGTCGCCTGCCAGCCTTGTCTTTGCCTTTTTACCGTTAGGTTGTGACTTTTTTTTTTTTTTTTTAGATGTTATTTTAGACTTGCTCTCTTCCAGACTCTGCTGTAATCTTTTGTAGGCTATGTGAGACCTATCTAGGCTCAATAGTCATTATAAGACAGGCAAACAGCACCTTTTTGGAAGTAGAGCGGCCACTGTTGCTTGGATGTTTGTTTTCTTGCCTCTGTCTCTTTAAACTTAAATAATAAATTTGAGTTTGATTCCAATATCTTCTAAATTCATCGCTCTGTTTATCTTGCAGTTTCATGGTGATGCTATGGCATCTGCCAGCTCCAGCCGGGCAGGGGTGGCCCTGCCTTTTGAGAAGTCTCAGCTGACTCTGAAAGGTGAGTGGCACCATGTGAAATGTGTATCATTTCAGATCCAGCACAGTCTATGGGGAAGAGGTGGAATTATACGACACGCTGGTCTGGAGAGCCAACTTGTGTGAAATAGCTCATGAGTGTGACTAATTCATTCTCAGAGGGATACCGTGGCTGTAATTCTTGAAGAAGAAGAGAAAAAGGAACTTTTGGCTAAAATTATTTAAAATGCTGATTCCTTCATGTCCCAGGACTCTTTTTCTCTTCATTCACCTGCTAGAGGATCTCTTCCAACCTCATGACTTTAAATGACACCAACATAAGGTCACTCTCAGGTTTGTTACCACTCATTTAGGCCTCTCTTCTAAACTCCAGACTTGTATGTCCAATGGCCAACTTTCACTTCCACTTGAATGTTTAGTAAACATCTAAAATTTAACATGCCCGGGATTGAGCTCCTGATCTTTCTTTTTCATTTCCTATATTCAAATCATTAGTAAATCTGTTGGTCGTTTTGAAAACAAATCATTCATTCAGCCACCTGTCACCACCCTACCATCTCAGCCCAGTTCAAGCTGCCATCATCTCCACCCTGGACTGGGCAGTAGCCTACCACACTGTCTCCCTGCTTCTGCCCTTTGCCCTGCTTCAGCTGTTGCCACACAGCACCCAGTGATCAGGTTAAACTGTCATCCAGGTCTGGTCACGCTTCCTCGCAAACCCATCAGGGCTCTCCATCTCACTCAGAGTGAAAACTAAAAAGCCCACATGATGTGGCCCCCATTTCTCACCTGCTGTTGCTCTTCCACATTCGCTGTGTTCGAGCTACACAGGTCCCTTCGTTCTTCGTTGAATGTATGAGCAGGCTTCCACTTCTGGGCCTTTTCACCTGCTCCAAGTGAGTAAGGTGCTGTTAGCTTGCTTTCTTGCTTTGTTAAATTGCCCTTTTCAGTGAGGCTTTCTTGATCTCCTGATCTAAAGCTAACCCCCTCCCTGATATTCTTGCTTTTATCCCCTATCCTATTTAATAGGTATTTTTCTCAGCTCTTAATACCTTTTTTTTTTTTTTCTTGGAGAGATTTTTGCTAAAAGGCACCTGTGCTCACCAGAGAGACAGAGAGAGAGACAGAGAGACAGAAAGTGAGAAATCACACCCCAGGAGGGATGACCATACCGCAGTCTCTTCTTCTTCATTCTTCTCTTGGGATTTTGGGCATGCATGTACATGTGCCTGGCCTGGGTTTTAAGCCACCAGGTCCGGGATTCAAACTGTGGTTGACCCACGTGGATGTCTAGTGATGTAATCATTATTCCATCTACTGGTCCCTCACCTTTTTTTTGAGAGATTTATTTATTTATTTATTTAGTTAGTTAGTTACAGGGCACGTGCGCTTGCAGGAGAGACAGAGAGAGACATAGAGACAGAAAGTAAGAAATCACCCCCCAGAGAGGATGGCCATGCCACAATTCCTTCTTCATTCTCCTCTTAGGATCTTGGGCACAGATGGACACATGCCCTTTTTTTGAGAGGTTTTTGCTATAGGATGCATGCGCTCGCCATAAAGACAGAGAGAGACAGAGAAACAGAAAGCAGGAAATCACCCCTGGGGGGATGGCCACGATTCCTTCTCCATTCTCCACTCAGGATCTTGGGCACACACGCACAAGCGCCTTGTGTGAGTTTAAGCCACTGGTTCCGGGACTCTGCGGTCGACTACATGGCAGTCCAGCGACACGGCCATTATGCTAACTGCTGGTCCCAACCCTATATGAGTTTTAAGCTGCCGCCAAATCTGGGACTCAAACTGTGGTTGACTACATGGAAATCCAGCAATGTAATCATTATGTCATCTGCTGATCCCATTATTACCTTTTTTAAAAATAATTATTTGTTGGGACCAGCAGATGGTGTAATGGTTACATTGCTGGACTCCCACGTAGTCTACTATGGTTGGAGTCTCAGACCCAGCTCTTAAACTCACACCAGGCACGTGTGCTTACATGCCCCAAATCCTGAGAGGAGACTGGAGGAGAAGGGATTGTGCTGTGGTCTTACCTGCTGGGGAGTAATTTCTTGCTTTCTGTTTCTCTGTCTCTGTCTCTCCAGTAATTGCACGTACCCTATAGCAAACATCTCTTTCTCTCGAAAAAATAAAATTATTTGCTTTTATTTATCGTTATTGTTATTATTTTTAAATTTGCTATAGGACTTGTGGGCTCACCAAAGAGAGAGAGAGAAAGTGAGAAATCACTGCTCCGGAGGAATGGCCATGTCACAGTTCCTTCTCCTTCATTCTCTTCTTGGGATTTTGAGCATGCGTGGGCATTTACCCAGCATGTTTTTCAAGCTACTAGGTCTGGGACTCAAACCATGTAGTCGCCCATGTGGGATTCAGCTGCCTTAACCACCACCAGCTGGTCTCCCTTGTCACTGTTTAGCATACAACATGTTACTTATTTCGTTTACTGACTGTCTCCTTCAATAGAATATCAGCACTATGAGAACAGGAAATTTTGTCTGGTTGCTGTTCAGACCTAGCCACCAGTCCCCGATACTTAGCGAATCCTCAGTAGAAACTGCCTGAATGATGTTGCTCCAGTAGCTTGAGCTCTGCGGGAGTTAAAGGACCATGTAGATCCCAAGGGATGGAGAGTGAAACCCAGTGTTCGAAGTCAGGCCCCACAACATGGCCAGACAGAGGCAAAATTGTGACTCTGGACCATTTTCCATTAGTATATTTTTAAATGTTTTGTTCGTTTATTCTGTGAATGAGAGAGAAAGAGAGCTAGAGGTACAAGTACTCCTGATGGGACCTTGACACTGTGATCCACTGCTAGCTTCAGCCGGCCCTGGATGGTGGGCACTACTCAGGTGTACCTGGTGTACTCAGGGAGGTCTCTGGACACGGACTGGCAACCTTCCCTGGTGGCCCAGCCCTGGAGAGCATTATGTTTTACTGCCATGTCACTGTCTGGTCCCTTCATTAGTATTTCTCAGATGTAAATTTTATTCATTTATTTAATTCATTCATAGTCAAAATTCATTCCATTCCTCTCAGTGTCTGGTTTGGAGGAATTCAACATTAACAGCTTCTCGTATGCCCCTTCCAAGATACATCAAAGGGACATACTTTTGTAATTTTGAGGGCCAAGGTGTCCTTCTTGGAAGGAATGTTTTTTTTTTTTAACTTATTTTTTTTTTTTTGAAAGATTTTCGCTATAGGGCGCATGCGCTCGCCAGACAGAGAGCGACATAGAGACAGAAAGCGAGAAATCACCCCACAGGGGGGATGGTCACACCGCAATCCCTTCTCCTCCATTCTCCTCTCGGGATCTTGGGCACGCACGCACACGCGCCCAGCATGAGTTTTAAGCCACCGGGTCCGGGACGCGAACTGCAGTTGACTACGTGGGAGTCCAGCGACATAGCCATTACACTAACTGCTGGTTCCCAAGAAGGAATATTCTTCATGTGGTGTGTGAGAGAGCACCAGTTTGCTATAGAGTATGTGTACTTGCTGGGGGGAAGAGAGAGAGACAGAGGCAGAGAAATAAAATGAGAAATGACCCCTCCAGGCGTCATACCTATGCTGTAGTCCTTTCTCTTCCATTCTTGTTTCAGGATTTTGGGCATGCATGCACATGTGGCCAGTGTGTTTTTCTTTCCTTTTTTTTTTTTTTTAAATTTTGATTTTTAGCCCCCTTCTTCTTCTTTCTTAAAAAATTATTTTATTTAACTTTATTTATTTCAATTTGACTAGAGAAGGACAGAGAGAGAGAGAAAAAAATAAAGCAAGTCCAGGTCCGGGACTTGAACCATAGTTGGCCAGGAATCCAGTACCCTTAACTACCACACCACCTGCTGGCCCCATCAGTGTGTTTTTCAAGCCAATGGGTGAAGAACTTGAGCCCTGCAGTTGGCCATGTGGGATCTTGCTGTCTTGCCTCAATCACGACAGTTGCTAGCTTTTTTTTTTTTTAATTGTCAGAGGGTGCCTGGATAGAAAGAAAGCACCTCATGTGGAGCATCGTCATACTGCACTCCCTTTTCCTCAATTTCTCCATCTTTCAGGATTTGGAGCATGTAAACACATGTGCTTAGCATTTTTCAAGCTATCAGAGCCAGGATTTGAACTGTGGTTAGCCATGTAGGATATAGCTTTCTATGTATGATGCTTTATTGTTGTGCTATGGGGTTGGCCCTGATCCTAGAGTTTTATTTATTTATTTAATTTAGTTTTATTTATTTATTTAGTTTATTTTAAAAATCATTATTTAATTTTATTTATTCATTCATTTATTTTAATTTGACCAGAGAGAGAGAGATTGAGAAAGTGAAAAAGCAAGCCACCAGGTCTAGGACTTAAACCATAGCCAGCCATGTGGGAGTGTCCAGCGCCTTAACCACCATACCACCTGCTGTTCCTCTATTAATTATTTTATTTTATTTATTTACCTTTATTTTATTTTTAACTTGCCAAAGGGCATATGCACTTGCTGGAGAGAGAGAAAGAGCAAGCAAGCACCCCCACCCATAGGCGGTGGTCATGCCACAATCCCTTCTCCATTTCTCATTTCTTTTGGGATTTTGGGCACACATGCATGTGCGTCCAGCATTCTTTTCAAGCCACTGGCCCCAAGAATTGATTGCATAGTTGGCCATGTGGGATCCAGCTGCCCCGAGAGTTCTAAAAGTTGCATTTTTAAGTGCATCAAAGCCCTAAAACATAAGCCAGCTATTTTGTCTGATATTTAACTCAAGTGATGCTGAAAAATTGAACACTGAAAAATACAAGATAGAAAACTAAAAAACTAGCTGTTTGGAACCTATCAAAAGACAATATGCCAGACTGTATTGTGATGTCTCCTTAGAGCTTTTGAAGGGTATAATTCAGCCATATGTGCTTTTTGCCTTATTTGGTGACTTTGAAAGCTAAATCTTATATGACTATGTGACTTTTACTATATATGATATTGGCATTTATATTTCATGAAACGGTAAATAGACTTCCTAGAGAGACTTG